TAGGTTGTATACTTACTCAGACTCAGGATGGAGTCGAAAAAGTCATTGCATTTGCTTCTAGGAGCCTCTCTCGGTGTGAAAGGAACTACACCACTACTGAGAAAGAGTGTCTCGCTTGTATTTTTGCTTGCGAAAAATTTAGACCTTACATTGAAGGAGTTAATTTTACAGTAATCACGGATCATGCTTCTTTGAAGTGGTTATTTAACATGAAAGACCCATCTGGTCGTCTAGCACGATGGAGTGTAAAATTAAGTCAATTTCAATTTGAAATATTTCATAGGAAAGGTAAATTTAATGTAGTACCTGATGCACTTTCTCGTAGTCCTGTGGATCCTGCGCCTGAAGAGCCATCCACTTCATGTCTTGTAGCTATGACTGATAATATTGATAAGAATGTCTTAGATTTGGATTTAGACAACTTAGACAGTTTTTATGAAAAAATGCGTAGACAAATTTCAGAGTCTCCAAATTCTTTCCCTCAGTGGACAGTTAAACAGGGTTATGTATATAAATTTGCTCCTTCTAAAGTACCCATAGAGACTAATATTTCAGATTGGAAATTACTTGTACCTAAACCTCAGAGACGGAAAATTATTCATATAAATCATGACTTAGCCACAGCTTCTCATGCTGGATATTCAAAAACAGTTGCTAGGGTTCAGCTATCATACTACTGGCCTAGAATGCGACGGGATATATGTAAGTATGTGAAATCATGTAAGGTCTGTGCTTCACAAAAATCTCCTAACTATGCGAAGTATGGATTAATGGGCATGGAAAAAAAGGTCTGTTTTCCATGGCAGGTTATTGCGCTTGACTTAATGGGTCCTTTACCCAGAAGTAAGAACGGTTTTCAGTATATACTCGTTGTCAGCGACTGGTTTACTAAGTATCCAGTAATATGTCCGCTAAGAAATGCGACGTCTCAAGCAATTTTGAAATTTCTTGAAAATGACGTTTTTTTGATTTATGGGGTTCCCCAACGTATCATCTGCGATAATGGCAGACAATTAATAAGTAATTCAATGAAAAAGTTAGTTTCCGATTATGGATCAAAGATTTCTTATACTCCGTATTACCATCCTCAGGCAAATTTTGTTGAAAGATCTAATCGAACAATTTGCACAGCTATTAGAAGCTATATAGGGAATTCTCACAAAGAATGGGACAAAGAATTAGGAAAAATTGGTTATGCCATTAGAACGGCTGTACACGAAGTCACCGGGTATAGTCCCGCTTTTTTAAATTTTGGACGAATTGTTCCGTGTAATGGAAATTATTATGGCAATATTGCATCAGATGATTTGGAGTGTGGTAATAGGGAAGTATGGAAAGAAAATTTGGGTAATCTTAAAGACATATACAAAGAAGTTGAGAAAAAGTTAAATTTAGCTTATGCTAAAAATTCTAAGTATTATAATCTCAGGCGGAGAGAGAAAGAATTTTTTGTAGGCGATAAAGTCTGGAAACGGAATATCGTTTTGTCTAACGCAGCAAACAGCTTTAGTCAAAAATTAGCGCCACGATATGTACTATGTACAGTTAGTAGAAAAAAGAGTAAATTAGTTTATGTCTTGAAAAATGAAGACGGTAGTCACGCCGGAGAATGGCATATTCAGAATTTAAAACCATACTATGGTTCATTATCAGATATCTCGTCGAGTGGGCACGAATCTGGATCTGAAGATTAAATTGTAAATTTTTTTGTATATAATCATAGGATTAATTTTTTCCCTGTGTAAATTTCCATGCTACATTGTTATACGGTTCTTATACAGTACTGTATGCATCTTATTAAGTAAGATAGAATAAGTTAGTTAAGAGAGCTCTCTACCATAGTAAGATAGGTTAAGCAGCAAATCATTAGAAAATGGTCAAAGTAGTTTATTCTCAGAGTAAATAAAAATTGTACCCATGTTACAATTTTTATTTTTCATAGGAGGGGGGTGATTGTAACATGAAAATTTACCTTTATCCAAACTCAATTATCAGAATGGTACAGTTTCCTTTTTTTGTGCTCAGACTTGAGTCAAGTATCATGCAAAGTAAACAGCTAAGCATTTAGTTCACATTTTATTACAGGAACTTACAAGAAGTGAATTATATTACATAACAAGTGTGGGTATTTCATCATGTTCTTGTACCTGTTGGATTGGTTGGCTCACTGCTTATGTTTTTGGGAAGATTGATGCCTAAAATTGAATTAAACATGTAGATTTTTACACAAAGTCACAGTCATAACTTACCTGAAGTCAGTCCCTGTATTCTTCAAACTGATGTGATCATCTCCAAGCAATCCTTGAACTCCAGGAATAATCTGAAAAGAAAAACAAAAGATTAGGTGAAATCATAACGAAAGTATTTGAGCTTCAACAAGCATTGTACTTACCAAGTGAGTCTTACAGGTGTTGGGACTTTCTTTATTTTTTTCCCAAATTCGCTTCTTTGGAAAGTTATTTTCAAATTCGAATTTGTTTATTTATTTTCATTGGCTGTCAACATGATAAATTACAATTTGTCCAAAGTCAAATATCAAATTGTTTCATGTCAATGTCATAGGTCACAAGTCACGTAAGATTTGTTTCTTCGTTCATTTTAGGGTTGTTCGTTTGCACTTAAGAATCAGTCTTAAAGTCAGGTCGAAGTGAATACTAAGTGGAAAGTCATGTCATTGAAAAGGCGTGTGTCATATGTCAAGTGTCACCGAACCACGTGGGGTAAATCCTATTTTCTCATTGGCTAGAGGTTGGAAAGAATGGATGGCCTGTGATTGGCTAAGAGCTCAACTTGTGCTCACGCATGAGCGGTGTTGTTGCGCAGAAAGCATAGTTGGCGTTGACTGTTTTTTTCGAATAGGTTTTCCTATGCTTCGATTTTGTTCTTGACGAATATAATTTTTCGGGAAGGGATTGTCCTTTTCCGTCTTGGTCTCAACGACGCCATCATGGGCAGGAAAAGCTCTTTTTCGATTTTGCCTGGCGAGGCGATAAGTCGCCACTTAATTTTCACTTGGTTGTGTGAAGCCGATCCCCCGTGGAAGGTGAGTTTTTTTGAACCACTTGTGGCATATTTTTGGCCTGCAACAGGGACGTTCTGGATTATAGATTTGCCGGCTTCCACGAGCCCCACGAATTTCCTTACTGAGAGCTCTAAATCTGAGCCCGGACCACTGCCTCACCACTGACCACTGCCTCACCACTGACCACTGCTTTAGTACCATTGAAGAAGACGCCCTTTCTGATGACCACCTGCTGATCTTCAGCCTGGTTTCTGACGGCCTCGTGCTCGTCAGCTTTGAAGAGCCTCCTAATTCCAAGGGGTTCCTTGGGTTCAATGTCCCCACTGCAATCAAGCCTCCATTTGATGAAAGTGCCCCTGAGTCAAGACAGGCTTCACTGGGACTATTGAGGTCACCCTGTCCTGACTTCGAGTGAGACGTTCCTGGAGTTCCAAGGGAGGAGATATGGGGCCTATATTCAAGTTCTTGGTGAGCTCGATCCAAATATGATTTAAATATGATTTATGTTGATGAGTTTAAATGATTTATTTTCACCAATATTTGTGTCTTATCACTAAACTTAATTTTTCATACACAAGTATCATGTGCAATCAAGGTTAATTGATTAGGGTTTATTTCAACCATGTTTATGGTATATTATACATAGTGGGATTTTGATTTTGGTACCTATATAAAGTATAGTATGAGGTATATATGTATAAAATAATAACAAACAGTAGTGATACATGATGGTCCCTGTAAACCCCATGCAGCTGCACGCGGTAACCAGTGTCTCAGTAGGCTTTTAAATCATTAGCTGTTGCTTAACTTAACTATACTGCATATTATATTATCTCCAAGAATTGAGAAGGTTTACATGCCTGTTCACTAATTCACTATGAAGCTTAGTAATTAAACTACCTTTGACTAAAGTCTGCACGGTTTTGATTTCTTATCTTTCATTCCAACAAATTTAAGTGGCGCCCCTTTCAAAATAAAAAAAACTGTTTGATGATTATCTGACCAACCCACGTCCCAGCTCTCCAGACACATTGGCTGCCGTTTCCTTGACAACACCATTTTGCTGTTTTTGGTATTTATTTTGGGGTAAGTCTCTAGAAAGTGCAAAAGGTGGTGACAACCTACTTATGTGATGATCTTTTTCTAAAATTTATAACCTATGGAATATTATTTAATTAACGTAAATAATTTACCCTAACGAAAACTAATTGTTATACTGATGAAATTCCATTCAAAAAAAATTTAATTTAAATTTTTATGATGTACAAATTTTTTTATAGCAATATCATTATTGAGGAACAATGATTCCTATATACAGGGCGTCTTTGGTTATCCTACAACTTCGATTAGAAAACCATACTTAGGGTATTTTTGTCCACTAGAATTATTTGCTAGTTCATAATAAGTATTTTTGTCTCAAAGTTGTAGGATAAAGACACAGCCAGTAGCCGACCTTAAACACGACCCTGTATACGATTGTAAATGTTGATAGATATCGATGGAATATAAAGAACAAACATTCATATATATATATATTTTAGCAATGTTTTCTTGTGAAATATGCATTGATTTGAAGATGTTGATAATTTTTGGAGTAATTTTCTCAAGAATTCAGGATTCATGTCATCATGTCATCATGTCATGTTCACTTTCTAACCCATATATAAACTTATTTAACGAGAATAATTTATCCTAATAAGTTATGGTTCTAATGAAGAGAATAAATTGATTTGAAAAGTGATTTCTGTGTACCTTTAATTAGTTTAAGGCCTTACCTTTTAACATGTGATCCCAAACACTTTCTTAGGCCATCAGAAAAAGTCTGCGTTCGTGGGACTCGAACCCACGATAGATACCTCGACGTGAATCGATATTGAAGCATCGAAGCACTGAGGTACGCCGGCCTACCGGATTAGGGGTATAAATTAGTTTGAACGTTCAAAAATTTAGAATTTTGAACTGAAATCAACAAGTTATAACAAATTTAGAGTTTTATTTTGTTAAAACTTTACAAAGATATTTACATCGATATTTCTCACCGATAGATTCTAAAACTAAAATATAAAAAACAGAGTTTTTGTATTTACATTATGATATGATACAAAATAATTATTGCATGAAGTTGAAATGAAAAATATTGATGTTCCCTTGGCAATTCTATTGCCAAGACGGAGAGGGATGTTCAGTTCTAACCTAGATGAAATACATTAATTTAACGAAAATGATTTATATCAATGAAAAATACTGTTCATAATGAAAAAAATTAAACTAATCACATGCCTATACTGCTTTTTTGATCAGAAAGAAAAGCCCATATCACGATCACTTTTTACACTTTGCAACGTCGTGCAGTTTCTTCCACAAGTCGTATTGCTCAGCACTCTTCACCATGTGAATGCTAATCTCCTTCTGTATATTGCAAGGAGTGAAAGAAACTCGCTTGTTCAGAAATTCAGGCGCATGTACCCGTTTGATATTCAATCCGTTTGCTACGATCCCAGTAACGAACACGTCCTCCAACTTGAAATACGTGTAATTCAGCGCTGCTACGTAGAGGTCTCTGGATATTTTAGCTGGAAACAGGTACGCAGGCCCAGTAGTGAAGTCCGGAAAAACCGCCGGCTTGTACTGCTGCGGGGAAATATAATACTTGGATTTTTTGCTCCTGATAGGCTTCCACTTCCTGGCCAGCCGGCCGTATATCGCTCTCTGTTCAGGCTTATGTTTGGCGATGAAAGCGAGCAGACGAGACACGTTTATGAACATGTCGTCGTCCGTTTTAAGTACGAATTGGGCCTTGGGACAGAACCTGTCCACCCACTCCAGCATCGATATGGTCTTCAAAGTGAGATTGTCGTAGGTGTCGACGAACTTTCCCTGAATGATGTCGCCGAAGATTCCTTGTTCTTGCTCGAGGTTCTTGTTCACGGTTTGATTCGAGGTGGCTCCCAACATGAAGGCTATGGCTATGTCTTTTCGTATGGCAAAGTGGCCCCAGGTTTCTCTCACTGCTAGTCTGGCGGTCTCGTGGCTCGGCGCCGACGTGATCGCAATCAGAAGCCTCAGATTTCTGCCCAGGTCGGGGCAAATCTGCGAGTTCACGTCCATGTGTCCGGCTTCGTAAATTATTTCAGCAGCTACACCTGGAAAATTCGGGAATATTTCAGACACTTGGCCAAAAATTTAACGCACCACCAAAAAGTATACAAAAGTTTGAGATACCTAAGGTTTGTTCGTGCTCCAAATTGTTGAAACGGTCCTTATTGGACTGCGCAGTATCAGGTGCGCATCAAATTCAATTTTCAGGCATTTTTGCGATTTTTGCAATTTTCAGGCATTTTTGCGATTTTTGCAATTTTCAGGAATTTTTGCGATTTTTTCAATTTTCAGGAATTTTTGCGATTTTCGCAATTTTCAGGAATTTTTGCAATTTTTGCAATTTTCAGGAATTTTTGCAATTTTCAGGCATTTTTGCGATTTTTGCAATTTTGCAATTTTCAGGAATTTTTGCGATTTTTGCAATTTTTACAATTTTCCGGAATTTTTGCATTTTTCCAGTATCTTTCCAATTTTCAGGAATTTTTGAAATCTTTACAATTTTCAGGAATTTTTCTAATTTTCAGGAATTTTTGCAATTTCTGCAATTTTTGCGATTTTCGCATTCTTCAGAAATTTTTTTGCAATTTTCAGAAATTTTTGCAATTTTAGCAATTTTCAGGAATTTTTGCAATTTTCAGGCATTTTTGCGATTTTTGCAATTTTCAGGCATTTTTGCGATTTTTGCAATTTTCAGGCATTTTTGCGATTTTTGCAATTTTCAGGAATTTTCGCAATTTTTGCAATTTTCAGGAATTTTTGCGATTTTTGCAATTTTTACAATTTTCCAGAATTTTTGCAATTTTTGCATTTTTCAGGAATTTTTCCAATTTTCAGGAATTTTCAGGAATTTTGACAATTTCTGCAATTTTTGCATTTTTCAGGAATTTTTCCAATTTTCAGGAATTTTCAGGAATTTTGACAATTTCTGCAATTTTTGCAATTTTCAGGAATTTTCGCAATTTTCAGGAATTTTTGCGATTTTTGCAATTTTTACAATATCCCGGAATTTTTGCATTTTTCAGGAATTTTTCCAACTTTCAGGAATTTTCAGGAATTTTGACAATTTCTGCAATTTTCAGGAATTTTTGCAATTTTTGCAATTTTCAGGAATTTTTGCAATTTTGCAATTTTCAGGAATTTTTGCGATTTTTGCAATCTTTACAATTTTCCGGAATTTTTGCAATTTTTACAATATCCCGGAATTTTTGCATTTTTCAGGAATTTTTCCAACTTTCAGGAATTTTCAGGAATTTTGACAATTTCTGCAATTTTCAGGAATTTTTGCAATTTTGCAATTTTCAGGAATTTTTGCGATTTTTGCAATCTTTACAATTTTCCGGAATTTTTGCAATTTTTGCATTTTTCAGGAATTTTTTCAATTTTCAGGAATTTTCAGGAATTTTTGCAATTTTCAGGAATTTTTGCAATTTTCAGGAATTTTTGCAATCTTCAGGAATTTTTGCAAATTTCGCAATTTTCAGGAATTTTTGCAATTTTGCAATTTTCAGGAATTTTTGCAATTTTTGCAATTTTTACAATTTTCCGGAATTTTCAGGAATTTTGGCAATTTTCAGGAATTTTTGCAATTTCTGCAATTTTCAGGAATTTTGGCAATTTTCAGGAATTTTTGCAATTTCTGCAATTTTCAGGAATTTTTGCAATTTTCAGGAATTTTTGCAAATTTTGCAATTTTCAGGAATTTTCACAATTTTTGCAATTTTCAGGAATTTTTGCGATTTTTGCAATTTTTACAATTTTCCGGAATTTTTGCAATTTTTGCATTTTTCAGGAATTTTTCCAATTTTCAGGAATTTTGACAATTTCTGCAATTTTTGCAATTTTCAGGAATTTTTGTAATTTTTGCAATTTTCAGGAATTTTTGCAATTTTCAGGAATTTTCGCAATTTTCAGGAATTTTTGCGATTTTTGCAATTTTTACAATTTTCCGGAATTTTTGCAATTTTCGCATTTTTCAGGAATTTTTCCAATTTTCAGGAATTTTCAGGAATTTTTGCAATTTATGCAATTTTCAGGAATTTTTGCAATTTTCAGGAATTTTTGCAAATTTTGCAATTTTCAGGAATTTTGGCAATTTTCTGGAATTTTTGCAATTTCTGCAATTTTCAGGAATTTTTGCAATTTTCAGGAATTTTCGCAAATTTTGCAATTTTCAGGAATTTTTGCAATTTTGCAATTTTCAGGAATTTTTGCAATTTTTACAATTTTCCGGAATTTTTGCAATTTTCAGGAATTTTGGCAATTTTCAGGAATTTTTGCAATTTTTGCAATTCTCAGGAATTTTCGCAATTTTGCAATTTTCAGGAATTTCTGCAATTTTTGCAATTTTCAGGCATTTTTGCGATTTTTGCAATTTTCAGGCATTTTTGCGATTTTTGCAATTTTCAGGCATTTTCGCGATTTTTGAAATTTTTGAGGAATTTTCGCGATTTTCGCAATTTTCAGGAATTTTTTGCAATTTTCAGGAATTTTTTCAATTGTTGCAATTTTCAGGAATTTTTGCAATTTTCAGGAATTTTCGCAATTTTTGCAATTTTCAGGAATTTTTGCGATTTTTGCATTTTTCAGGAATTTTTCCAATTTTCAGGAATTTTGACAATTTCTGCAATTTTTGCAATTTTCAGGAATTTTTGCAATTTTTGCAATTTTCAGGAATTTTGGCAATTTTGCAATTTTCAGGAATTTTTGCAATTTTTACAATTTTCCGGAATTTTTGCAATTTTCAGGAATTTTGGCAATCTTCAGGAGTTTTTGCAATTTTTGCAATTTTCAGGAATTTTTGCAATTTTGTAATTTTCAGGAATTTTTGCAATTTTTACAATTCTCCGGAATTTTCAGGAATTTTGGCAATTTTCAGGAATTTTTGCAATTTCTGCAATTTTCAGGAATTTTTGCAATTTTCAGGAATTTTCGCAAATTTTGCAATTTTCAGGAATTTTTGCAATTTTGCAATTTTCAGGAATTTTTGCAATTTTTACAATTTTCCGGAATTTTTGCAGTTTTCAGGAATTTTGGCAATTTTCAGGAAATTTTGCAATTTTTGCAATTCTCAGGAATTTTCGCAATTTTGCAATTTTCAGGAATTTTTGCAATTTTTGCAATTTTCAGGCATTTTTGCAATTTTTGCAATTTTCAGGCCTTTTTGCGGTTTCTGCAATTTTCAGGAATTTTTGCAATTTTCAGGCATTTTTGCGATTTTTGCAATTTTCACGCATTTTTGCGATTTTTGCGATTTTTGCAATTTTCAGGCATTTTTGCGATTTTTGCAATTTTCAGGAATTTTTTCAATTTTCAGGAATTTTTGAAATTTTTACAATTTTTAGGAATTTTTCTAATTTTCACGAATTTTTGCAATTTTTAGGAATTTTTGCAATTTTTAGTTTGTAGGAATTTTTCTAATTTTCAGGAATTTTTGCAGTTTCTGCAATTTTTGCAATTTTCAGTAATTTTTGCAATTTTCAGGAATTTTTGCGATTTTCAGGAATTTTTTGCAATTTTCAGGAATTTTTGCAATTTTCCGGAATTGTTGCAATTTTTGCAATTTTCAGAAATTTTTGCGATTTTTGCAATTTTTAGGAATTTTTCTAATTTTCACGAATTTTTGCAATTTTTAGGAATTTTTGCAATTTTTAGTTTGTAGGAATTTTTCTAATTTTCAGGAATTTTTGCAATTTCTGCAATTTTTGCAATTTTCAGGAATTCTTGCAATTTTTGCAATTTTCAGGAATTTTGGCAATTTTGCAATTTTCAGGAATTTTTGCAATTTATGCAATTTTCAGGAATTTTTGCAATTTTCAGGAATTTTTGCAAATTTTGCAATTTTCAGGAATTTTGGCAATTTTCTGGAATTTTTGCAATTTCTGCAATTTTCAGGAATTTTTGCAATTTTCAGGAATTTTCGCAAATTTTGCAATTTTCAGGAATTTTTGCAATTTTGCAATTTTCAGGAATTTTTGCAATTTTTACAATTTTCCGGAATTTTTGCAATTTTCAGGAATTTTGGCAATTTTCAGGAATTTTTGCAATTTTTGCAATTTTTGCAATTCTCAGGAATTTTCGCAATTTTGCAATTTTCAGGAATTTTTGCAATTTTCAGGAATTTCTGCAATTTTTGCAATTTTCAGGCATTTTTGCGATTTTTGCAATTTTCAGGCATTTTTGCGATTTTTGAAATTTTTGAGGAATTTTCGCGATTTTCGCAATTTTCAGGAATTTTTTGCAATTTTCAGGAATGTTTGCAATTGTTGCAATTTTCAGGAATTTTTGCAATTTTCAAGAATTTTCGCAATTTTTGCAATTTTCAGGAATTTTTGCAATTTTCAGGAATTTTGGCAATTTTGCAATTTTCAGGAATTTTTGCAATTTTTACAATTTTCCGGAATTTTTGTAATTTTCAGGAATTTTGGCAATCTTCAGGAATTTTTGCAATTTTTGCAATTTTCAGGAATTTTTGCAATTTTCAGGAATTTTTGCAAATTTTGCAATTTTCAGGAATTTTTGCAATTTTGTAATTTTCAGGAATTTTGGCAATTTTCAGGAATTTTTGCAATTTCTGCAATTTTCAGGAATTTTTGCAATTTTCAGGAATTTTCGCAAATTTTGCAATTTTCAGGAATTTTTGCAATTGCAATTTTCAGAAATTTTTGCAATTTTTACAATTTTCCGGAATTTTTGCAATTTTCAGGAATTTTGGCAATTTTCAGGAAATTTTGCAATTTTTGCAATTCTCAGGAATTTTCGCAATTTTGCAATTTTCAGGAATTTTTGCAATTTTTGCAATTTTCAGGCATTTTTGCAATTTTTGCAATTTTCAGGCCTTTTTGCGGTTTCTGCAATTTTCAGGAATTTTTGCAATTTTCAGGCATTTTTGCGATTTTTGCAATTTTCACGCATTTTTGCGATTTTTGCGATTTTTGCGATTTTTGCGATTTTTGCAATTTTCAGGCATTTTTGCGATTTTTGCAATTTTCAGGAATTTTTTCAATTTTCAGGAATTTTTGAAATTTTTACAATTTTTAGGAATTTTTCTAATTTTCACGAATTTTTGCAATTTTTAGGAATTTTTGCAATTTTTAGTTTGTAGGAATTTTTCTAATTTTCAGGAATTTTTGCAATTTTCAGTAATTTTTGCGATTTTCAGGAATTTTTGCGATTTTCAGGAATTTTTTGCAATTTTCAGTAATTTTTGCAATTTTCCGGAATTGTTGCAATTTTTGCAATTTTCAGGAATTTTTGCGATTTTTGCAATTTTCAGAAATTTTTGCGATTTTTGCAATTTTCAGGAATTCAGGAATTTTTGACAATTTTCCGGAATTTTTGCAATTTTTGCATTTTTCAAGAATTTTTACAATTTTCAGGAATTTTCGAAATTTTGACAATTTTCAGGAATTTTTGCAATTTTCAGGCATTTTTGCGATTTCTGCAATTTTCAGGAATTTTCGCAATTTTTGCAATTTTCAGGAATTTTTGCGATTTTTGCAATTTTTACAATTTTCCGGAATTTTTGCAATTTTTGCATTTTTCAGGAATTTTTGAAATTTTTCCAATTTTCAGGAATTTTTCCAATTTTCAGGAATTTTAGCAATTTCTGCAATTTTTGCAATTTTCAGGAATTTTTGCGATTTTTGCAATTTCCAGGAATTTCTGCGATTTTTGCAATTTTCAGGAATTTTCAGGAATTTTTGTTTTTTTCAGGAATTTTTGGGATTTTTGAAAATTTCAGGAATTATCGCGATTTTTGCAATTTTTGCAATTTCAGGAATTTTTGCGACTTGCAATTTTCAGGAATTTTTGCGATTTTGCAATTTTCAGGAATTTTTGCAATTTTCAGGAATATTTGCTATTTTCAGGAATTTTCAAAATAAAATCTTCCCCTTGAACACCCTGTATCTCCTAAACCTCCTAAACATTCTTATTAGGCATATTAGGCTATATCTTCATATTTTGGTGTTTACTATCTGTACTTCAGAGATTGCACATTTATAATGAAAAAACTCATTTTTGATGTTATTACTCTCAATAATTTAATCAATCACTTCATCAAGTAGGAGATGATACAACTAGAAAAACAGCTTGCATTATGAATAGACAATTCCAAAATTCTGAAGAAGTTCAGGAAGTTAGGAGAAGTCTACGCAAGAAAGTTCTAGGAAGTTTGGGAAGTTTCGCCCCACGAAAAGTTGATGTACAAGTTTTTTAGCCGTGATAACTCCCTCTGAAGTTAACTAGGGGTCGGGGTAACACAATCAATTCCACAAAACTGGTCGAGTCCGTTGGAGCAGGGCCTACTCTAGGTGAGATAGAGTAGGCCCTGGTTGAAGCCTCAACAAAAAATTCGATTACCTTTGGTCAGATCCGGTCCCTGAGGCACACCACCGGTAACATTCCCGCTCTGCGAGGGCGCAGGCGCCGACAGGGGCGCCTCGGACGTGCCGGCGTCGGCGCGCGCACCCTCCCGCTCCGGCTGCGTCGCGTTCGCCGCGCCTGCGCCTGCGCGGACCTCGAACGACCGCCCTCCCGGCGAGGCGGTCGTGTGCGGCTGCGCGCCGTTCAGGTACGAGAAGCAGAGGAGGATCGGGACGGTCGCTAGGGCGAAGACCGCCAAGTGCAGGCACCGCACTTGGGCCACCCATGGCACCCCCATGCCTGAAACAATAAACGAGTGGGCTATTTCTTTTTTATTTCTTGAATAGAATCATCACTCAAATACCTATTGAAAAGGAATAATCGTGGGTAATATCCCAAGACCATGACAAATAGCCGACTATTATTTTCTTCATAATTCTATCGAGAGTACCTTGTATTTTGACAATTCGATGAGACCATACGAATTGTCCCAAAATACAAGTTACTCGGGATGAATTGAAGAAAATAATAGTCTCCATTTGTCATGGTCGAGTGATATTCAGGAAGATTATTCCATGAACAGTGTAAAAATACTGGTTCATATGAGTTCCAACATTTTATTCAAGTTACAATTCTGCAGATACTGTTTGAATAAAACTTCTTCTTGAACTGAAAATTTTCTAGGAAAACTATGAATAGCTAGTGGATTGGCAAATTTCAGGATCCTTGCCCAACGATTACGTAAAATACAGGGGTGTTTCCATTAGAAGTGGGTCACACTGTATATATATTCATTCATTAGCTCATTTGCCATCATTGTTGCCATATACCGGGTGATTTTCGAAGGTGGCTCGCAGAGCAGGATATATATATAAAGAAATACATTGAGATTTCGCATTCTCCATGTGATGAAAATATTTATTCTTTCGCTCAGTTTATTCAATAGAAAATAACTACTTTCCTGGCTATATGCCACGACGAACATTGAATTATATCTGTTGAATATCCAAAAAGAGACCATGAAAAATCAAAATCCTCTGAAATTGAGAATTGACATCATCTCTCAAATCGAATAGAATAATATAAGAGATAATGTCAATTCTCAATTTCAGAGGATTTTGATTTTTCATGCTCTCTTGATGAATTGTGAGAAAAAAAAACTGAAGTCAGAGTTGAATTAGGAGAACATAGTTTGAATTCTGCGAAAAAAGTCTGAATACAAGGAAAAAAGTTTTAATTCAGAGTGAAAAATCTGAATTCAGAGAAAAATTTAATCAAAGGGAGCAGTCCAAAGTTACAGCAGAGAATCTAAATTAAAATAAAAGTCTGAATTTAGAGTAAAAAGTCTGGATTCAAGGTATTATTCCTATTATTCCGAGAAAAAAAACTGAAATAAAAAAGCTAAGTCTAAATTCTTGGAAAAAAATCTGAATTCAAAGAATAAAAGTCTGAATTCAGGGAAAAAAGTCCGAATTTAGGGTGTATTACTCAGAGAAAAATATCTGAATTAGGAGAACATAGTTTCAATCCAGATGAAAGAATCTGAATTCAGTTAAGAAGAAGTGAGAGTGAAAAGTCTATTGAGAGTAAAATTCCAAGTACAAAGTATATATTTAGACATCGAACAAAAAGTTGAAAAATGTTGTTTGATGATTTAGAGTAATAAAAGTCTGAATTCGGAGAGAAAAATCTGAATTCAGATATTGATACTGCTTCAATAGAATCTTACGCTGTCGTACATTTTTGCCATAGATCAAACGAATGGAAACAACAAAATTCAATGATTGTAAAAATGAGTTGTACAACACAACAAATATTCACTTCCAGAGCTTCCAGCGATTCTAAATTTTCTTCAAATGTGAGAGTCTAGCGCCCGGTCTGTGTGTGTCAATGCCACTCAACCTATTGATGAATTTATTCATTTACAAAAGGCCTTTTTTGCCGCATCAGTTCAAGGTCCGAATTGAATGGTTCAATGGCCAGCCATCGGCCGATGATTTGTTTTCTGGATGAGTCAAGGTATGGTACAAGACGACCAAGTCGAAAAATAATCAACAAGAAACGCGATAATTGAATCATCGGAAATCATGGGTATTCACCGGTTCATCGCTTATTTATGGGAACGTCATCATAAATATAAAATAGTGCATTAAACTAGGAAAATCATCCATTCTCAAAGTGTCCCCACAGTATTGATAAATGAAAGAAAAACTCCAAGTCGGTCGACCACACTTTACCCGTTTCGGCACAACGGCCATCACCAGACTAAATAAAAAAAATTTACACCTGCATACTTGATGAATGATCGGCATAAATCTCTTCTTCATTTCTCTTCATTTCTCTATCCCAGAATAATTGTTAGATTTTAAGTTACATAAGTAGGTATTATAGAATTCTTAAGTGAATTTTCAATAGTATATTTTGTCTTTGTTGTATATGATAATTATGTATATTGTTTAGCTAGTTTTCCGAGACCAGCATGTCAGTGCTGCTTTGGAAAGCCTTTTTTGAATAGTGTTGTTATTCCAGATAACTTAAAACTGTGACTGTAACCATTGCTGCATTATTCGAATAAAGTTCTTGAAAAAAAAAATAAGACCTGTTATGGGTCAGGAAAAACAAACAGTACCATTGAAATTACAATGAGCAACCTGATAACTTTCGGGATGTGCTGGATTAAGTAACAGAAGTAGCCACTATAAAAATCCTAGGAGTTAAACTTCAAATTTAGCTCCTAGACACTAAAAGTAATGCCTAGCAACATACATACTAATCATTGTATTGTGTCAGTAAGAGAAACGTCAATTTCAAGAGCTAATTTTGGAACAAAAATGGACGACTTTCGAGTCTATTGCAGAAAACCAATTATTAATGGTTAATTGGCTTGATTAACATGTTTTAGGTGACATGACATGATTGTGACAAGCCTATTGTACTTCATGACAGAAAAATTATACTGAAATAATTGCACTATCAACACTTCCATTGGGAAAAAAATCGTGAAAAATTTGTATCAAGTACGTAAATGACAATCAATTCTAGAACTGGAAAAATCAATATTAGGAAATCATGGAGAATTCTGGGAAGCCACTCCCCGACTTACGGCATTTAACTAGTAAACCAATTGAGTATGAGTTCCTGAAAATTTTGCAGATAGGCTCGAAATTCCATGCTACGCCACTGTTTCCGCTATTGTTTTATTTTATTGCTGGAAAGTCCTGAAAGTTAAGAGTCACAGTTCTTTTTTTCTATTTCTAGATTATAATTAGTTCATGTGCAGAGAATTTACAATAGAAATAGCTTTCAGTGACAAGTTTTACCAGAAGCACATTCGTCTGGCAACAAGATCTATTTTCAATTTCCTTCCAGTCATCAAGCATGCATATACATTCATACATACAGGGCGACCCATACTTATTTGTCCATATGTATACACGGTGTATCATTACTAATTGAAAATATTTCAAGAGATTTAATCCAAATCACCTAGATAAAATGTGTCCCCTGCCTAAGTTACAGGGCGTTTTATATGAAAATTTAAAAATTATTTGTCCCTAGTACTTTGAAACTAATTGCGACGTATCATCTTCATATTTGGCGGGAACTGTAGATACTATACACCCTACTAAATTATGAGAAATAAACGTTTCTGGCTACTACCGGGGAAAGTGACTGGTTGATCCTTCCCAAATTTTACGCCACTGGCGGAATTGCCATTATATAACATATTCAAAAATGTAAAACACCCTGTAACAGCTCCTGTCTGTTATGTTAATATGTTTTTTTTTGTGAATATGGATGAAACCTCATCATTTGATTGATGAATGCAATCCATTGATTCAAAATATCGAGATGATTGTGCAGCTTCATGTTAAACTTGAAATATCTCGAAAAATAATTACTTTATCGCTATGAAGAAAAGGTAAGATATTTAGGTAGAAAGTATTACAGAATCGAAAAATTGTGATGAAATGGCAATTCCGTCAGTGTTGTAGAATTTGTGAATGACCAGCCAGTCAATTGCCCGTGGCGTACGCTTACTTTACATAATTTACTGGGGTATATAGTATCTACACTACCCTCAAAATATGACAATGAACGTAAATCAGTTTCTGATTACTAGGCACAAATATTTTTTCAATTTTCAAATAAAACACCCTGCAACTCTGACAGGATACACATTTTATCTAGGTGATTTGGGTTAAATCTTCATTTTTTTAGCTCATTATTCTATATTTAAAACATTCCCGATTAGTAATGATTCACCCTGTATATCTCGTAATCGATAGGGCAACGGCATTATAGCATTTTAAACCACCCCTAAACATCCGTATTGACCCTCAAGAACCCCAATCAAATAAGTACAATGGATGATTTTTTCAAATGAAGAAATGTGTACTAATGCAGAGAAAACTTCGGAGAAAACAACAAAAAACATGTTGAGTAGTTAGTTATAGCATGTGTAATTCTTAGAAAATTATATAATTTCATGTTTATCTCACTTGATTATCTCAATTTGTTTGAGAAATATATATAGCCTTAGCATATAAAGTCAAGGATACCCTGTATATATCATTATGAAGAGAAGATCCCATGTTAAATAATTCATCAACGGACTCATCGCTTTATCAAATGATTGATAAGTCGGCATGTAGGTAGTTATACAGGGTGGCGACTTTAACTGGAATGAATTCGCTAGCATGGAGATGAGTGATGTTTCTGAAAATTTCATACCTAATATTTTCGAACAATGAACAATAAGTTCTTTGTAAGAAAATATACTTCTACTAACTTAACTTAAATGAATTCGTGAAAAACTGAGACTATCGACTCATTTTTTATTATTTCATGTAACTTATTCATTTTATAATTTTGTGTAACTGATGAAGTAAGATAATTTTATTTTATTCAACCTAACAATGTTATGGATATGAATTATTAATACAACACACTGTCGAAATCCATGTACAAAAATTCCAGCAACTTCAGTGGAATAAAGTTAATCAAGAATAATACTTTGAACTACCACCAGCTCCCTTTTTATAATATTTTGCGTGACTATTTGAAATTTCGGTGAGAAATTTTCTTACCGAATATCACTCTAGCTTCAATTAAAAACCGGAAAAAAGCTCGGCAATAATAATTGAATCTCTCCTGCTATTATTTATAAGTGTAAATTCTCCAATCAAAATACAATATTGAAAATCAATATATTTCCAACGTTTTTTCATCGAAATTTCGATTTTTAGTGACAATAATTATGACAATAAAATTTCGTTTCGAACTGTGAATACGGCATAAAAACCAAATTTCTTTTTGCGACTGTATAAAAACACTAGCATAAAATAGCAGATAGCAGTTGTGGCAAAAAACCTGCTACGAATTGCATTTGAAAAATAAATGTTGAAGGTGGTTTCAGCTACGCCTGAAGGCGCATATTCTCGGCAATATGTAGATAAATACATTTTTCTGCAACCGACACAGGCATTTCGATCCGGAAAGCCTTCAAGATTCACATAGTTGCTTTATCGTTCTCGCGATGGGATGAATTGTTTTTGAATTATCACGGCCTGCAATACTTTCTTGCCTCACACAACGATATTGTTCACCTTCATTTAATTACCGAGCCAAACACAGTGGATTGTGGAGAGAAATAAATAATCGCTATCATTATTGTGGATATGCACACTAACCTGACATTTTATATCTGGCACTGGCGCGGTATTTGCTATTAGGGCTGACACCTGGTCCATACAAATGGGTCACTCTGTGGTTGTATTTATATTGAAACTAAAATTCGAACATCCTTGGGAATAGCATATTTAGTTATACTTTTGACGCTAATAAAACAAATTACTATTAACCGTTGACGTATGTCGGGAATTTTCAGAAAAAATATTCACTTCTTCGCTAGCGAATTTTTTGTATCGTTGCATAGAGTGTCCACCTGTATTTCAACCTTGATGTTAGGAATCATGATATTAAAATGCCTAGTTTTCGCATCAATTAAAATAAAGATAGGCACCTATCTACTTAGTTAAGTAAATTTTTGCACACTTTTATTTACTCACATTATTATGATAAAGCGTGATAGACGGATGGAGGTATATGTATGTATAGACTAAGTATCACTTGATATAACAATTATTATTCCGATAACAAATCATACCTAGTGCTTGACGTTCAAAATCTACGACATAAATTGAGGAATCATCATGCTCTATGTGGCTTTATCATTAATTACTTTATGTTGATTATAGTCACGAATAGGAAGCAGTCCGAGTGTCTTTTATTGATTCAGTACAGGGTTGACCTGTATCAGTTCATTATTGTTATATTAGGTATTGAATCTGTCTACAGGGTGTTCCAGATTTTCTATAGACCAGCAGATATTTGAGTTATGTGGGATCGAAAGCTCTATAATACTGCTAATTAAGTCAAATTCCTGCCAAACAACGTACTAGAATGCACCCCAACTTTGGTTTATCATGGTGTAATTTTTTATTATTTCGGAGCATCTTATAGAACTTTTTATCACGCTATAGATAGGTATTTTACAGGGAATTAGTAATTGATATCTTTAATGAAAAGAAGTGCAAATCCATTTTTTCACGAATTATTGTTCAAATTTCTAGTTTTTAAAATATGATAAAAACTCTCCAAGTCGTCTCCACAACATTTGATTTCAAATTCAAGAGTGTAGACAGATTCAATACCTAATATAACAATAATTAACTGATACAGGTCAACCCTGTACTTTGAGATAACATGCACATCTACAGTAGATTTCTAGTTTTCTATGATTTTGAAGAATACAAATTATCGAATAAAAATACACTAGTCTCCCCTAATGGATGCTGATGAGTATTTAATTCAGAAGATGAGTAAATAAACTGAAATATCGGGATATACTTGTAGCTAAATAATGCTATAATGATCAGAAATCAAATGGACAGTGAACAGGTGGCAGATATAACCAATGCAAAAGAAATTGTTTAATTTCGATAGAAATAAGGATCAACGAGACAGTCAGAGATACGAGAGTAACTTGACTGCTGATTGGCTAGGTCAGTTACCTCGATAAAACAATGTATAATGAATAGTCAGCTAATGCTATAATTACTGCAATGTAATGCCTGAGAATTTTCAGGAAATCAATTATTTGTGAAAAAGAAGACATGTGGAATTGATTAGCAAGCCCCTAGGGGTTTGATGAAATAAATTCAGATAACCAATAAGTATAATATCTACAGTGTGACACACTAAAGATGAAGGCACCCCTGAATTTCAGTCATTTCTGAAAGCAGAGATTTGATATTTGGTACAAACGAAGACCTTCATGGGCCGTACTTTTCGTAATACCAAGTTTGATTTTTTCGTAATTTTCATATTGAAGTCTGTGATTCAAGTTCGATTTTCGATTAATGGTGAATAAAACGCTACCAAAATGATAAAATAGAATAAATGAGAAAAACTATTGAACTGAAAAACATAATTTTATCAAATGTAAGTTATTCGAATTCAGTCTCCTTCACTAGCCCATCACTCAACATTCACGTCTGTACAGGGGTGTATTCATCCCAAGTGTGTCAAACTGTATATATATGAATAGACCAGAAAATACTGGGTGTTTGAAGGCCATCAGCATCCAGCAGGAAATAGGATCAACTTCGAAAATCTTTGTGAAAATGTTGAGGCGAGGTTGAATTCATAAAGTTTTATTTATTTTGAGCAAAGTTTGAGTCATCTTCACAAAGACATAATGTATAATTAGTAAGTGTTGAATGGCAATGAATCATATTCATGATAATGAAATATTCGTTCATATATGCAAGGTTCCATTTTCAAATGAACAAACGTCGTCCAACCTTCATTTTCGAAATAGCAGAACATAGATATTTTGCGTTGACCAAATTGTAGTTTGGAAAAATTTAGGAAGTTTATTGAACATACAATAACTTTTATGGCTTCAGAATGCGTAATTATATGTTTAATTTTACGATAGGTAGGTATATATAGACAAAGGAATTAGTTATTGTACCTATATCTATTGTTTGCACGATTTCTAACTTTTCGCAATTGGCAAAACGAATATAACAATTTTGTAGCCGAGATGAAGACATTTTTACTCAATATCCCAATAGCGGATATTCCGCTTAAGGATTTAATTTCATGGGTATTCTTGAAACAAATCACTTCTATAATTAAAACAACCATTTCAAAACTGTTAATCGTCAATCCATTTTTGTAAACCTTCGATGTCTTGATTGATGAAATCAAATTGTTTTCTCGTCACGAAAGACGCGAGTTTCATGTGATTCTAAAAACATATACAGAGTGAATCAAAATGACACAATTTTTAGCATCTCCAATAGTATAATCAATGATGGAAGAAACAGTGAAAAAAATCAAAATGATAGAGTAGGAAGTAGGAAAAAACTTTTAATATGCAGAACAATTGACGAATTAAAATCAATATTGCCCGAGAAAAACTATAACGAATCCGAATGTTGTTTTTTCAATTACTCCTTCAAAATTCACCGTTGCCCTAACATAAACTCACAAATGTCCATTCTGAGGGCATATTCTTGCACTGTTGAAAACTAAACTAAAATCAAAATTCTAAAGGGGTTGAAAAGTGTGCAAAGTGAAATTCGAACCACTTAATCATACCAAACAACCCCCAGCTTTCAATTTCAACAAGGAAAACGACCAGTAAGATAATAATATTTAGATTGATCACCTTTCGAGTCCAGCTTTTGATAGGGAAGCTTCATTATCTATTATTCCGAAAAGCTTACATCACATATCAGCTACCAACACATTCGATCAACGATTTTTTCATCACTGAACATTAGAAGACTATGTCATCGATGCCTATGTTGAAAACTAAACTAAAATCAAAATTCGAAAGGGGTTGGAAAGTGCGCAAAGTGAAATTCGAACCACTTAATTATACCTTACAACCAACCCCCAGCTTTCAATTTCAACAAGGGAAACGACCAGTAAGATAATAATATTCAGATTCATCACCTTTCAAGTCCAACTTTTTATAGGGAAGCTTCATTTTCTATTATTCCGAAAAGCTTACATCACATATCAGCTACCAACATATTCGTTCAACGATTTTTTTATCACTAAACATTAGAAGACTATGTCATCGATGCCTATGTTGAAAACTACTAAACTAAAATCAAAATTCGAAAGGGGTTGAAAAGTGCGCACAGTGAAATTCGAACCACAACCACAACCTAACAACCCCCAGCTTTCAATTTCAACAAGGAAAATGACCAGTAAGATAATTATATTCAGATTCATCACCTTTCGAGTCCAACTTTTTATAGGGAAGCTTCATTATCTATTATTCCGAAAAGCTTACATCACATATCAGCTACCAACACATTCGATCAACGAGTTTTTCATCACTAAACATTAGAAGACTATGTCATCGATGCCTATGTTGAAAACTAAACTAAAATCAAAATTCGAAAGGGGTTGAAAAGTGCGCACAGTGAAATTCGAAGTATTTAATTATACCTAACAACCCCCAGCTTTCAGTTTGAACAAGGAAAACGACCAGTAAGATAATAATATTCAGATTCACCTTTCGAGTCCAACTTTTTATAGGGAAGCTTCATTTTCTATTATTCCGAAAAGCTTACATCACATATCAGCTACCAACATATTCGATCAACGATTTTTTTATCACTAAACACTAGAAGAGAGACAGAAGATCCACCTGAGTTCTTTCAAAACAAATGAGTGTTGAGCTGGGCAAAGGAACATGCTTCTTATAATTACAGAAAGCGACTGATTAGGTGCGAGCATTTGAATGTTTTTGCTGCTAATTATCATTTTGGTAGAATCACGAATGAGATGTTAAACTCACCCGTTACGTCGATAAAAATAAAGAAATCCTGTTGATCGGCAACGTTAATAGCGACATTTCGTTGAAAACCTGAAAATATAAATGGCATTAAAAAAAAAACAACAAATGAAAGATATAAAATAAGTTGGAGCATGCTAATTATGAATTTTTGAAACCTCAAATGAATTTGTCAAAATCAAACACGAATATTTTTTACGATTTGTTTAAAAAAGTGACGTTATGGTAAAACTTTGGATAATATAATATGCTCGTACATTGATCTATGGTACATTCAACGGAAATCCATAAATTTCAACTGGTATTAGTCAAAATTAGCACTAGGTATAATAGAACAAACATATGTATTGTTCCTGTAACATGAGTTGCATACACTGTAAGGAAATGTTTTTGTATTCATTAGACGGATTTCATGGTTTCAATTCATACCATGTTACAATAGCTGATATACAGGGTAGGTATAGGTATTTGTTTTTAAAATTTAATGTTATGTATTGTTCCTGTAACATGAGTTGCATACACTGTAAGGAAATGTTTTTGTATTCATTAGACGGATTTCATGGTTTCAATTCATACCATGTTACAATAGCTGATATACAGGGTAGGTATAGGTATTAAAATCAAATAAGAAGGTATATACTATATACCTACCAAGTACCTACCACGAAGAGTTTGAAAAATATTCATCTGACAATGAAGAAAAAATTCAGTTTTTGTATATACAGGGTGTCCCATAAGTCATGGATCAAATAATGAAGTGGGGTGGTAGGGGAGGTCATTTGAAATTGAACTAACGGTATATATTATGTGGTTATCAAATTGTTGATGGTTAAAAAAATTATTCAATTTTTCTGAAAAACACGACCCATTTGAAAAAAATTAATAACAAAATGGATGTTTTGAATAACCTCATAATATATGTTATACCATTTCGGAATCTGTATTAAATTGGCAACTTTTTCTCATCTTTGAATCTGCCAGCGGCATTTAAAAAAACAACTGAAATATGCCATTCAATGACACAACTTAAGGAAAACAACATTTTCCATACGTAATTGATACGAAGTAACACAGGTCATTAAATCATTTCTGGGCAAAGGTTCATCCATGTGACATAGTTTTATTGTAATTAATTTTTTTATAGAAATGAAAACAAATAATAACTTTTGAACCATCAACCCCCCTACCACCTCACGTCTTTTGATCCATGACTTATGGGACACCCTGTATATTAAGAATTTGACCTAATAATGTTGACCTTACGAAAATTGAAGGTTATTGTGGATATTATCTACATTAGACGCCAAAATTCATCAGTTACTATATTTGACAGATTTATGGATTGAATTTGATTCGTCTCGACACTCGAATTGGAAAAAAAAAATACATCCGGAAAAATTATTTTTTTGCAAAAATGCTCTGTATATACATACAGTTCATGCTTTCCGTACATCCGCGTGTTACCACTAATGGCATTAATACGTTGATTTTTATATTCAAGTAACTTCGCAGAAACTAAAAAATCGTTTCCGTCATTCATAATACAGGGTGGAGACTTTAACTAGAATAAATTCGCTGTAGTGGGAAGGTGAATGATTATTCTGAGAACTCGCGAGGAGCGTCAACATTTCAATGTATTTACCTATATTTTGCGAGTAATAAGAATAATATAACTTTTCAGGGGTAGCTGAAATCAACCCCAACATGTTTTCTCCAAATCCTACCCTATGGCTTGTGACCCCTCATTGGAAAAATGTTAGTTTGCACTGTATTTTCATCAAAATTTCAATATTTAGCAATAGTTATAATACATTTGCCATCAGTTTTCAATAACACTTCGTTTAGAACTGTGCATGAATACGGAATAAAAACTGAATTTCTAGTTGCGTCTCTATGAAAAAACTGACATACAATAGCACATAGCAGTTGTGGCAAAAATTGCTATGAATTGTTGAACATACATTTTGAGCAAAATTGCATTTTGATCTTTATGTAATCCTCAGAATAAAATTAGATCAGTACACTGGATTCCTTATTCCACAAGCTATAGCCATAAAAAAACATGTTGAGGGATATATTTTCGATATTGCTGGCAAAATGTTGGTAAATACATTGAGACGTTGACGTGAGTCGGAAATAAAAAAAATATATCCACGTCCGCGCTAGCGAATTTATTCAAGTTAAAGTCTACACACTGTATATTATTGGTAGTACTGTTCACTGTTCTACAATTGTTCTTATCCGTCATTCATCAAAAATGTATAAAAAAGTAGCGATATTCCCGGAAATTATCAAACCACTTTTTTAATCATTCCCATGGCACACGCGGTAGGTACCTACCTATACATATTGGAGAATTTTCAAAGCAATAATAACCGACTTACTCCTCTAATAGAATTGTCCTTGAAAAAATTAAACATGAAATTGCTTTCAATTAATTTTCATTCGGCTTTTTCTTTCAGGTAAATGGTTATTTTACTAACTTATTTCACTCACCTCGAGTTACTGAGAGGATTCTCAATCAAGAGACAAGTGTTAACTAGACGAGGCAGTTTGATGTTGTGAAAACATTAATTAAGAAAGTGAATTGACTAGTAATTAGATCACCTTCACTATAGTCACTAGGTACGACAAATGTAAATGCGGTGTATATACCATAAAAAGCAAACCCTACAGGATGTTCGGGAATTCCTTTGCTATAGTTGCCATATAGATTAGGCCGAAGAAATATTATAATGGGAATGAAATAATATTTTAGCGGATCAAATATTAGGTTCCTACCTATATGGCTTATACAGTCGATAATCCATCAACTGTGTGGCCTTTCTGGCAACCTTGGCCAAAATTATGTTTCGACGTGGTTATCCTCAATGGAAATTTCACACTATAACTGATTTCTTATATTTCATTGGCAATAATCAGAACAATCACCGGAGGAAATCACTTTGAGATAATTGACTACTAACTACTTTGTAAGAATTCAACCTCACAAACATTCAATTTCATGAAACAATTTAAATTCTTAGTTTTATTTTTGTATGGATCAAATTAAAAGTAGGTACCTATTGATGATGTGAGTAATTTCTAGAATTTCGTTATCCTTTTGATAAAATATATAGGCACAAAATTCCCATGTTTTTTTTTACAATAACCATGGATACAGTTTATTTGGGTTTTAGAAACTGTATTATTGTCATGAAAATAATCTTGATGATGAAAATGCAAAATCGCAATTTTTTTTTCCATACATTGAAAATGATAATAGTTATTACAAAATTCCAAGGGATATGTGATTTGGATTTGAACTTATTCTCCAAGGAATAAAACATTTATGTACATGTTAGTTTCCGGTTGAATTCTACAAAGCATCAACAAAATTTAATCAGATGTAACGTGACCATTCATATACGCCCCCACATTGACAAAAATTTGGTAACTATACAAGTATATACACAGGACGTTAATTAATAAACCATCATTAATACATTGGAAAACAGAATAAAGAACATGATTGTGAACAAATATTAATACTTAGATTAAATTTGAGAATAAATTGAAACCTACACAAAAACGCGAAGTCTCATCACAGCAAGTGCATGGTTTCATGAAATCTGATACCAGTGATACCTACGAGTCTCTTATGAAGATCAAATAATGAACATAGTTTCTGCATGGCTTACAGGATATCTCAGAATCCTTGAAAATAAAAATGGATATTGATAAGTAGGTATACTTCATCTTCACCTAAGAGAATCTAAACATTGATTTGATAACCTTTATAGCATACCTATTGGATCAAAATCGTTTGATATACCTATCATGAATATTAATTAATATTTCAATTGGTAAGTATTATAGGTACCTAGGTACATTTTGAAGGTTTATAAAGTGGTATTCAGTGGTCCATGGGAATAGGGCAATTGCAAGAGTATTTAGCCATACTGTGTGATAACAATGTTTTTACTGAAAACATCAAAAACAGGTGGATATACCTATGCAAGCGAATTAAAATAAGTATACCCCATTTCAATAACAAAAATATGATTGCTTCAGTTTATGAATTGAAATGCCCGCCAAGAAAAACTGTCATTTAATTATGGGTAATCTAAGTGATAAGATAAGAACGAAAAGTAACAATAAGAAATGACTCACCTGCAGTTTTCTGCTCTACATTATGTATATAGGTAATAATAAAATAATAGCCATGCCATCACCACTTTTTGATGACACACGTCATGAAATGAAAAATATTCGATTTGGGTATCAGTACCAACCACCAAAAACTGAAATAGTGGATATTGTCAGAAGTGCCAACACTGCCAACCTTCTGCCAACAGATATGAAGGCAAGGTTGAAAGTTGAGTTTTTTCGAATAATATCAAGGTTAGTGCAACTAACCTTGGAGTAATATATCTACGTATCAAGTAGCGTTTTACAATCCGATGAATATACCAAGACATGATGATGTTTAAACGTGAAGTCGAGTAAACGTTCATGAGAGTTTATGCCGTTTATGGGTTGGTTATGGTTATTTATGAAGTCACTCTAGTTATGGTTATCTGTTATCTGGGTTTGTATGCATTCTATGGTAACTTGACTGAAGCGTCAACCTGTCAACTGCCATCAATGATGTCACTGTCGAGTATCGATTCAATTTGGCATTTGACAGTGACGTGACACTATTATACTGGTAGGATTATTTTTATTGTTCTTGTTTTTTCGCAATTTTCTATTGCGTTTTCTAGAGTTTCCTAGTTGATTGGTTGATTCACATTTCATTTTCATATTGCATATTGGTAATTTTCTTTCTGTATTCAGCTATTATTGTTCGTGTTATACCCTACCTGTGACATTTTCTGTGTTTGACAATATTTATCAAATGGGCTCCTACATTATCTCATTATTCTGATAAATTTGATTGTTTAT